GAGACCATAGCTGAGATGATTGGTAGACTCAATCTCACAGCTCTGTTTCATCATAAATATTAGAGCTGATGTTTTATTTATAAATCAGCAAATACAGTCCTGCATTTGCCATTAATACTGTCACTTCCTGTTACAGAGACAATTGTTTCACTTGTTTCTGTTTTCATTTAAATCTACTTTCACTTCCATTTACTCCAAACTTTATCTCAATTTTTTTACTGAATAACTGCACCCTCTTCCAGCTGTGCCATGAAACAATTTGTTGCATTTCCTGCCAGTGTCACACACGGTCATACTTACATCCGTACAAGGAACCAGGTTACTCAGAGAAATGTGTTTATGAAGGAAATCGGACAACACATTTACGACACGTCTGTGTTTACATGCAGCAGTCAGTAATCAGGTTTCTGCCCTATCTTAACCTTATTTTCTTACTCTTAACTGTAATAGTGATTCTGCTGTCATAGCAGACCTGTCTCCTAGAAATTATGTTTACATAAAACTAATTTGTATCAGTAAATGTCTTATAAGAGCTGCAATGCCCCACAGACTATATTCTCTTATATCAACATTGTGAGGAAACTGTAAAATATGTCATAGCAATGACAGCAGGTTTTGTTTGTGATGATTATGTTCAGACATGTTTACAACATGTTTGGAAAGTTTTAGGTCTTGGCTAAACATAAAATATATATATTTACTTTATTAACATTTAACCCAAAACCATTTTTCCTAATCTTAAATAAAGCATTTATAACCAAATGCAGCATTCTGGCCACGAAAAATGTTGCTGGGGAACATAATCCAGTCAGCAAGTATCCATGTTTCCATTCAAAATGTAACTGGCAAAACAAATTTAGAAGTATATAAATGGAGTTTTTAGAAGACAGGATTGGTCACAGTGATACTTCCCTGTTTTGACATCTTGTGTCATGCACATGCATCCATGTATAGGGCTGATTGGAAACCCAGTTAGGTGTAGTATACATGGCTTTCTCTAGGAGAAATATAGCTGGGGTAATCAGGTTTCTCTAATCCCCAACTCCATTTATGGAAAGCTGGTTTCTGGTTTACAAGGCATGATAAATCAGGCAGAAAGCCAACCGTAACCAGGCTAACTGAGTGCATGTAAACACACTGTCTGAGATGCAGTTAAGTGGCTTGATGAGGCTACCAGTCTTAATGTTCTGAAATCACAATTATGCTAAAGCCTCAAAATGAATGTGAAGATGATTAATTGCACCTTAAATCTGAGCTGTCAGAAGAGTTTATAATTTGAAGTAGAGTTTTTATGTCCTGAAAGGAGCAGTGAACTACCATCAGGTCTTTATGGCTCCATCAAAGTGCTCTCAGCCTCTCCGTCAACACTGTGAGTGAAATCTGCAGCTAACCAGGTTGTCACATCAAATCAGGATCAGCTGAGGCAGGGCCACCTGCAGAGTGAAGGCGTAAAAGACCGACTAGATCTCCATTAGTTGGTAATGGCAGTCTAATTGAGTGCTGATGGAGATAGAAAAAGGAGGGGGGAAGGGGTTAGTTTGTAGGCCTTTTAATACAGTGCAGTATAAAATAAGTCTCAGATTGAGTGCAGAGCGTGTAAGTGAGAGAAATCATCAAGGGACTGATTGCTCTGTCAGCCAGAATGATTAATCCATTTTGAGTGTGCTCAGTGTGTGATTGATGGCCTGGTGCAGTCTGGGTAATGTAGTAGCAGATGATGACAGAAAGAGTAATGGCTTTTGAATGAGGAGAGTAGGTTGGGAGAGGGTGAAGGGGTAACAGATAGAAGGGTGAGAAATATATGCGAGGCTGAGAACAGGCGTAGCCACACCCACAACTTATCGGCATAGTGACAAGTTTACCACTGATCCCATTAGGAAGGGTACAACCAGGGGCAGGTTGCCAAGTGACACTCCAGAAATGATGATAGAGTGTTGCGTTATGGGAAAAAGGCAGACATCCAGAAGCTACGTCGCTGGAGAGAAATGTTTTGTCTCTTTGGATGAAATGACGCTCGGCCCTGTAACCTTTTCCCCTGCTTCACATTAGTCAGTCTTGTTTTTCATTCTTTCTGGGAACACATCAGCCTCAGAGATAAGGGACCTTTTGGTCCTCAGCTCTCTCTCGAAGCCCTGTGGGGCTCAACCTTTTCACCAATGCTGCAACAAAGTGCAATCTGAAATTCTCCTCAAATACCCACAGTGAACGCGGTTATATAAAGGTCCCCAAGAAACATTTCCTTACATGTTACTCTGAATTAATCCCCTCCAAATGAAATGTTTCTTTCAAAATGCTGCAAGTCCCTGTTGGTAAAAATCATTGATGTATTTCATTTAGTATGCAAATTACCATTTAGGCACTTGGCAGACACACTGTTTAGAGAGACTTATAATAAGCTTCACAAACAAAAAGTGCATCAGCATTAATTAAGAAAAGTAAAGCAAGAACCTAGTTCCTATTAACAGTAATAGCATACTATCAAGAAAATAAAGACAAGTGCTTTTTTTCTGTTGTGTGTGTTGCTGGAGCTTGACGGAAGAGTGGTGAGGTGAGACATTCACATTTTACCTTTCCAAGACAGTTAAGAGAGAGAAGGGAGAAATTCGGAGGTGGCGTGAGTGAAGGATGCAGGGTGGACAACAGAGACAGAATTGTTGCAGCAGTCAGGCCTGTAGGAGGACCTGCAGCTTTATGGATGTCTTGGTGCTGCGTCTGATCCCACAGAGATTGTAGAGATCAAATCTGCAGGATCAAGTGGTGGCAGCTGTGTGGCGTGCTTAAGACGGTTGTTTGTTGAGGATCACAGTGAGGTTATTGGTGGATGGTGCAGATTTCAAGACAAATAAATACAAACTCAAATAAAATTCAGTGCTTGGGTATCACACGTTTCCTCTCTTGAGGTAATGAGGAGTTCAGCATCTCAGCTTAGATGCATAATAAAGATGTAGTTTGAAAGTTGACATTTGGCTTGAACTCTTAATATAAAAGAGAAAAATAATATACCAGAATGTGACGATATCACTGCAACTTGAAAAGGTCAGACATCAAACCATTTTTAAGTAACTCCTTTACTAACTTTACTTACAGTTGTCAGTCAACTTGAGGGTTTTCGCTCAAAAGGTGGTGTAGGTAGAGATAATGGAGGCTTGTTGGGCAGAGAATCATACTAATACTAGGAGACAATTTACAATTATGAAAAGGTGAAATGTCCAGGCTGCCCAAGCATACAGATTAACCCATAAACCACCAGAGATTGTATCATGCTCCTGGTTGCCTTGATTTTGTACCCCTCTGGTTTCTGAGATGTGTGGAAATGAAACTCTTAAGATATATTTCAAACAAAAGCGCTTCATTGTAAAAAGATTCCAGCTGGAATCGCCCAGCCAACAGGTGAGACAAAAAATACGCTGTTTTGATTTTTAACTCTGTTGCTGTTGTGTTTGAGGGAATTTGCTGCACTATTGTTTGGCTCTTTTTAAAATGTATTCACACCATGTGATGGGACCCTGAAGCTATTGTACCACCATAGACAGCCACCTCTTTCATCAGTAAGGAAGTTAGTAAATTGAAATAAAGCCATTGTATCTCACATTTTAAGGTTATGGATTATAAAACAAGATTTTGCAGTATAGACATTTTCCAGCACATTTCACACAAATCACACAAATCTACTGTTCATTAAAGGCACTTGGACATTTGACAGCAGTCATAATTCATCATTCATCATTGACTATGACTTATCTTTAATCTTGGCCAGTCTCAACAATTTTATAGCACATGAATGTTGAGGACTTGAGACTTTCTATTTTCTTCTAAGAAAAGCTCCAGCAAAACCTTGTTGATCACAGTAATCACAGCGAACAAAGCCCCATAAGTCCTGAAAGGACCGTTAAGCCACTACAAGAAAAGAAAAAGATTGAAAAGAAAAGTTGAAACATTTTTTTTTTTTTAGTGTTTGCTTTGAACATTGGCCTAAATCTTTCATGATAATCCAACTGTATGGACATGGTTGGACTTGAATGGTAGCCTTAAGCTGAATTGAGAGATTACTGTGAGGTGAGGTGATGTGTTTGGTTGTTTTCTTTTTGTTTCTGATGATGCCCCTCAGGCAAAGGTGAACAAAAAGATGGACACCTTTGGCCCTGGATAGACACTGTTTGCCACACATTTCAAAGCCGACATCAAAGACCTCTTTTCTGCTTGTATTTGGCTGGGTTTTGTATTGCTGTGCTTTCTGCCTTTCACATAAAGCTCATAAAATCAAAATGACTCTCTTTGACTCACTCTGTGAAAGAGCTCTTCACTTTGCTTTCCAAACACTATTAGTTAACCTAATACATAATTTATGGGACTTTTGGAAGGGATAATAAGCCAGTATGGCTGCAGTATGTAATTAATAATGTAATTAGTGGTGTGTTTTATCTCAATGAATGTAGCACTGCTGGTAGTTCCTGAGTTGTGTGTTTTTAGGACCAAACACTTCTGGGGAGTCCCTGGGAGGAACTGCCCACTGGGGAGCTCCCCCGAGAATTATATACTGTCAAGTGTATGTTTTCTACTGTTTGCATTCGCAGCGCACATAGGAACGCTGAAGTGATGTAAGCTGGCCGGTGGTTGGTATAGCAATGTCACTTCTGTATGACATACAATGTCCGAACCTTGGACTTTACTGTCAGCCCATTTGTCCGTGTTTTGTTCCATCTTTCCAGGCTACACCGCTAACGTTTTAAAAAGGCAGTTGCGGCCTGTGTGTTTGACCTATTACTGTACTCAAGGTTCTGGGAAACTACAGTTACAAAAGTGCCTCAAAACTACAATCTTACCTTGTTACTGCAGTGCTGACACAATAACAAAGCGGGGGTCCTCCAACTGTTCTTAGAACCAGGAGAAACTTGTGTGATCAGGAACCTCTTTGGGCATGAAATTGTACACATGTGGTATGTTAAACAAATAGCCCTCACATTTCTTTTTCTCTGTTTTTCTCTCCGTCCTTCTCCCAGAATTCAAAGCATTCAGCAGAGATTGTCACCTCACCATCTCTGGATGTTTTCCTACCAGAGGACGAGGACAACCCGTACGAGTCCGTGACCACAGCCGTCACACGCAAACCTTGCTCACTCGATATCAACCACCGGCTCAACGCCTGTCCACGCAATGGTAGGACAAAGCAGAAAACTACACTTTTTATTTTGCAATCAATGTGTCAGCTGTAGTTTCCTTTCCCAAAACAGATGATACCACTCTCATCTTTGCTTAAAAATATATTAATTTTTAAATCACAGAATGACTCTTTGTAGTAAAATGATTGTTTTTTTCACAAGATGATTGCCAACAAAGAAAAAAACTGTTTAAGAGATTTCTAGATCTAAATGTATTTTAAATTCCCTGTTAGTCCTCCCAAACCTCCCTCAGCAAGATTACTGCTGTATTCTTCCACAGCTTTCTAATACATTTTACAAGATGCTTGTAAACTAGAAAAAATTTATCAACAACCTTAAAAGATTCACACAGATAGGTGGGTCCAGAAAATGTACAGTCATCAAACTGTAGTCATCCATGTGAACTAAGGGATCAGCTGACCATAAAAAACTACAAGAAGAGTTGACAAACCAACAATACGTTTTTAATTATTTTGTAAACACACTGCTGGATCGAACCAGTAAGTGTTGGGGTCATAATCATTGCTGCCAACACGTCTGTTCTCTGCATCTTTTTACAGTATTTATTTTTGTGGCTCTTTGTACACATTTTCTTTTTGGTCCTTTAAGAAGTTTGCTCTAAATAATTTGACAGTGGAACATATGGTGCCTTCCATGTTTACTGTGTTCACAAGCAAGAATCCATATGATCGCGCTGTTGTGATGATCAGTCAGTAAGTAGAAGACTTGAACCACCGAGCGTATTGTCTATTCAACATTAACACAAGTTTCATAACAATAAACAGGTGTGGAAAATGTGGGTGAGAGTGAGAGCAACATTGTTTGGGATATGCATTGTTGAATTTATGCCTCTAGCACTATTTGGATGGGATTCATTCCCTAAAGGCGAGGTTAGGTGAGTCTAATATTGCATGCACAGATCCGATGTTAGTCCCCTCCTGATCACATACAATATATGTGATTTTTCTTTCCCTACTCCAGTATTAATTACAGTTCTAATACCTGTTCTTCAGTATCAGTGGGCTTGTTCGTCATTCCATATTTTAGGTTCCCTCCGGACAGACCTCATCACCTCATGAACATCCTCTTAAAAGGGGAACTCCATCGATTTTGCATTTCAAAGTCTGCGGAGTACAACTGCATACGTCGAAACAGTTGTATGAAGCCTTTTGTAGCTCCAGAGGGAGCTGTGTGAAGGCTTGCGTCAGCATTGGTTGGGTCTGAAGCCTACATGTTTGAAATTGGAAAAAAAGTCTGGAGTTGTCGAGTTCGAAAGAGGTGAACTTACCAGACCTCTGTAACCCGCTCCTCATTTCTTATTCAGGTTAGTGGCTTGAAGATACATTAGCTACTACTAGCATAACTCACCTGAATCTACAACTTGAATGTCGGCAGTTCAGTAGCATTGTGGGTAATATAGGCACCAGGTTTTGACAAGAAAGAAAAATATGTGGAATAAAAAAACAAAATCTTTGGTTCTGCTGCTTTGATTTATTTTTGTTGTCCATTATGAGTCCAAAGTTCACTGCTAATTTAGTGTTAGATCGAGTACTCTTCTAAGAGTGACACTTTAAACCAGCATGAATTGCTTTTTTTGGTCAT